AATTTTCGGTAGGTGATCTTTCAAGTCTTTGATGTTATTTTATGAAGTTATTCACCGCTTTCAATACGAAAATAGTATGTAAATTAATACTCACATAACTAGGAATATACTAGGGGTATTTTTAAATAATTTTTATTTTGAAAATATAAAAAAAAAAGTTTAATCATTGAATGAAGTAACCAACCAGTTGGTAACTAACATTGTTATTAGTTACTAACCTGCTAATGACGTTTTAATGAAAATAATAGAAATCAATACTGATTAAATAAACAACTTAAAAAATCGAACTGCCTAATAGGCCAAAATCGGAAATAATTCCTACAAAAGATTTTATTGTTTTAATGGCTTCATTTGTTACACATTAAAACTATCCTAAGTTTTCGACTTCAACGGAGTTGTGCAGTGGTGCGGGCCCCCGAAAGGGTCGTTTTTTTGGTTTTACGGTTATATCGCGGTAAGGACTTACCCTATCGAAAACTGGTCTTCATGACAGTTGAAGGGCATTTAATCCTGCATTGAATGAGACCAAATTCATATGTTTTGGACAAACCGTTCTCGTGCTTATCTTCGAAAAAGTACAAAATGTACGTATATACAGGGTGTTAGGTAAATGGGTATATGAGCCGACACTAGCCCATGTTAATACATGCATATAAATGATATGGTGAATTCAGAAAATTGATATCATCATTTTAATTATTTTAATTTTCATACAAATCTGATTTTATAAATTTCATTTTGTATGAACATTTAAAAAATTAAAATAATGATATCAAAAGACAATGCCGGAAATTGGCGTCTTTTTTTTTTCGCGCGGCCATCGACCAAACCTTGTTTTTTGATTACAAAATAGTGTAATAAACCAAACTTACTATGACATGTATACCTCTAAACTCAATCTGAACTGAGTTACGAGCATTAGAAGTTTGACGATTTCACACACTAGATTTGCTTTTTGCGCGCAAGGTTTGTAAGAAATTACAAAAAATAGTGACATTGTATGTGTAAACAAACACAATACCATCCATTAAAGGCTCCAGACATCAGTATGGAGCAGAATCAGTGCAATAAAAAAATAGCGCAATATTTTGTTGCAATTTTTAACAAAACTTGCGCGCAAAAAGCAAATCTAGTATGAAAATCATCAAACTTCTAATACTCGTAACTCAGTTCAGACTGAGTTTAGAGGTACACATGCCATAGTAAGTTTGGTTTATTACACTATTTTGTAAATAAAAAACAAAGTTTGGTCGATGGCCGCGCGAAAAAAAAAAGACGCCACCTTCCATACAAAATCTGGCATTGCCATTTCTGACTTCACCATACCATTTATATGACCACTAGCTTTCCGCCCGCGGCTTCGCCCGCGTGGAATTTTGTCTGTCACAGAAAAACTTTATCGCGCGCGTCCCTGTTTCAAAAACCGGGATAAAAACTATCCTATGTTCTTTCCCGGAACTCAAACTATCTCTATGCCAAATTTCATCAAAATCGGTTGCGAGGTTTAAGCGGGAAAGCGTAACAGACAGACAGACAGACAGACAGACAGACAGAGTTACTTTCGCATTTATAATATTAGTTGGGATGTTAACATGGGCTGGTGTCGGCTCATATACCCATTTACCTAACACCCTGTATAATTAATGACCCTCTCTACGTCCAATGGCTCGTCACTCGCAGGCTCTCCGACTCAACTAGTTTAACCCTGTCAAGGCTTAAGAGCTGGATGCACCTATCCTTGTTCGTCCCAGCCGTTCCTTAACTGCGGTTACTGCACCTCTTCCTTGCACTCTCCTGAATGACTCTGTGTTACCAGGCATCGATTAGGCAACGTATCTAATGGCTGAGACGAACAAGGATAGGCGCATCCAGCTCGTAAGCCTTGACAAGGTTACACTGGTTGAGGCGGTTCTTTTCAAAACTTGGAATCCTGCGGTTATTGAGCCATTGGACGTGGAGAGGATCATAAATATACGTATATTTTGTACTTTGTCGAAGATAAGCACGAGAACGGTTTGTCCAAAACATATGAATTTGGTCTTATTCAATGCAAGATTAAATGCCCTTCAACCGTCATGCAGACCAGTTTTCGATAGGGTAAGTCCTTTACGCGATATAACCGTAAAACCGAAAAATGCCTCTTTCGGGGGCCCCCACCACTTAAGCACAACTCCGTCGAAGTCGAAAACTTAGGATAGTCTTAATGTGTAACAAATGAAGCCATTAAAACAATAAAATCTTTTGTAGGAATTATTTCCGATTTTTTCGATTTTTTAAGTTGTTTATTTAATCAGTATTGATTTCTATTATTTTCATTAAAACGTCATTAGCAGGTTAGTAACTAATAACAATGTCAGTTACCAACTGGTTGGTTACTTCATTCAATGATTAAACTTTTATTTTTTTGTATATTTTCAAAATAAAAATTATTTAAAAATACCCCTAGTATATTCCTAGTTATGTGAGTATTAATTTACATACTATTCTCGTATTGAAAGCGGTGAATAACTTCATAAAATAACATCAAAGGCTTGAAAGATCACCTACCGAAAATTCAAAATCTCCAAAGCTTGCTACATGCAAAGCGGCAACCAACGGCACAAGAATTGTGTGTCATCTTGATCGCCGTGTATGGTGCAATAGCTCATGTGAGTACCAGCCCTTCAGTTCTATTCAGTTTAAAAAAAATCCACTTTAAGTGTTTTTTTCCATACAAAAAAAACTGCTCGGCCGGCCGACTCGAAACAGCCTCTCGGCATAGTATCAAATGTATTTGGTCGCCGTACAAATCACCGCTTCACGACACGAACGCACGTAAACGTCACGGCGGGAAAAATGACACAGGTCCTGCCTTGACGGGCGCTCGCGCCATACTAATCGATGTCGGCTTGCGCATTGTAATTTATACTGATATTCACATCAATATTTTGACAAAGTGGTTACTAATATTTAAACAATAACTGTAGAAATCAATTCTACAATGAATATTCTTTATTTTGGGATACTTTTATTGCAGTTATTGCTGTGTTTTTAAACCAAAAACCACGATCAAAATGTGACGTTAATCTTCAAATTTGCCAAATTATTTTTAGATTTTACTCAATAATGGTAATGAAATTCAAGAATCTATTTCATTAATGAACTACAAGAATATATGTCCGATGATTCCTTTATATTTTTAAGCTTATTATATGAGCATAAATAATAGATACAGGACTTTGAAAATGAGTCTGCGGCAATTTTTTCGTAAAATGGTTGTGGGAGATGGGGCACTGTGAATTAAGCAAAAGAGTTTTAGTAAATCCGTTTCATTAATGGTCAACAACAAGGATCGACCTATCTTTCGCAGTTATTAAATAATCTCTGGGTGTTGCATAAGATAGTAATTCATGCTTCCAAAATCTTAGAAATTCGCACAAAAATGTAAAATGGCTCTTAAGTCCGCCTTATGTACACCGTTCTATGTGCATATAAGTTTTAAATAAATAAATAAATAATGCACGTTGAGAAAATACTTGAGTGTTAACTCACAATACAAATGAAATCATTCTTAATTCATTTCAGTATCTTTTATTTACAATATAATATCTTTTAATATTTTAAGGTTTTTTAGTAAGTCCAACAAAAACGAAAAAAGAAATTCTCCAAACAAAACACAGCTAAAAGTTGTTATTTTTAACTTCAATAACTTTCCGTGTTTACAACGAAACGTCGGTAGAGTTTCAAAGGTACCACTATTTTCATTGGATATTTGTCTCGAGAGTATCGAAGGTTCTTGAAATAACATTATTTTCCGGAGCCTAGGTATTGGGAGTAATAAACATCAATTGTGTTTTTTTCTTTCGAGCTGAAGCGAAAGAGAATAGGGTGGTAGATTTAACTTAACGCTTATCGAATAAGCGTGGAAGAACGATACTGACTTTTTTCACTTTCTTTCTTTCTTTCGTCACTTTTTTCCGAGTGGCTTGGCCTTTGTCTACCCCCAGGTTTAGATGTCCAATAAGAGTTGCGTAGAGAGAAACCAATAAAATTATGTGGCGTTCTGTATCTTCGGTCTAACACATTTCTGGCGTTCAGTCCAGCAGCGCTATTCCGAAACGCGGTTTACGTGGTTTCTGATCTATCTGCCACCGACCCTCGTGCTGGCTTCTCCGTTTGCGAAACTTCGGATACTTTCAAGAACTAAAATTTTCATAGATTTTTTGACGGACTCGATATCGAATACACGGTAATACTATCTATACAGTATTCCAACTCGGCCATATTTTTGAAATAAATGTCAACAGCCCCGCGGTACGTCACGGTATGACAACATGCGATAGGGCTGCTCACCTACAGTACACATCTGATTACTTAGAATTTCTGTCTAGTTTTGTGATTTTTTTTTTTTTATTTAGACAAACAAAATACTTTGTGAATGGAATAGGATAAAAATGCGTGTTGTTTTGTGATTAGTAGATTTAATTTAAAAAAATATACTAAAATAATGTTGAATCTACTAATCATAATGAGTACTTAATGACCTGTTACTTTAATTTCAGGCGGGCAAAATCGTTGGCAAAAGCTGGTTTTATACAATATAGAATTTTCATTTTAAATCAAACTGACTGAAAATGACCATTTCTGACAGTTAATGACTAGTTTTTGACAAATTTGACCGTAAATGACGGTCAGTAAAATTCAATCACCTTAGTCAATTTCAACACTAGGCCATCGACGTCCGTTCGGCACATTCGCGACACCCCTAATTTTTTCATCTCGCCCACGTCCCGAAATTTGAAATTCGAAGGAAAGCTCGTGTTTCATCGGTTTATATGAAGTTACAATACTGTATGATATTATTACCGTGTCGAATACGTTTGATGTTAATTCATACTAAGCCCCCTAGTTTAGGGCTATTCCGAAACGCGGTTTACGTAGTTTCGGATCTATCTATCTCTCATGCTGGCTTCTCGCTTTCGGATAACGTTTTTCGGAACCCCGCTGGTTCGTAACTTACCTGATGCTGCGGTGGAGGCTGCGCCCCATGGGGTGGCAAGTGCGGCGCGTGCTGAGCGTCCTGCGTGGGGGACATTGGGGCGTTCTGCCCCGGCCCGGGGCTCGGGGCGCCCGGCGGCTGCGCGGGAGGCTGTGGTGATCCGCCCCTCTCATAGCCCTGGAAAATGTTACAGTAAGTATCGTGTACGTTTTGAACATCAATTTTCAACATAAAGTTGTCGTATGTTATTGAACGGAACTAATCCGAACTCTCATTTTAACCATCATAGCAACTCTTGTATGTATCGTTCGTTCGTTCGTTTCAGCCGAATGACGTCTACGGCTGGATAAATCTTGTATGTATAGTCAGGATCTACAGCTACAGCTATATCATGATGACTTCGCAGAAATTGATTTACAAGTGAAGAGTTATGACTGATAGTTTTACTGATTTTAGCATGGGTTTTGTAATATTTACAAAATTGATGCAGTTTTAGTTTACACCAAAATTGGTTCAAAATCTTCTTCCAACATCTCTCGCCATTTCTTGTAGTTCTTACAAATACAAAATATTTATTAAACACGTGTTACATTGTCATTACAAATTAGCCTTATCCATTTAAAATTTATAAAGGACTAGCTGACCCNCACTCATAGATAACTTAAAAGAAAATATTATTCAATCCAAAATTGGTACAGTACTAAAATCCATGAGTGGTCCCAGTCGCCGGATCCATAAAAAAATAATAATTTTCTTCCGGCGACTGGGACCACTCATAGATAACTTAAAAGAAAATATTATTCAATCCAAAATTGGTACAGTACTAAAATCCATGAGTGGTCCCAGTCGCCGGAAGAAAATTATTTAATTTTTAGGCATCCGGCGACTGGGACCGCGGTCCCAGTTAATTGCGGTCCCAGTTGACGGAATCCTCCGTTTATCGCGCTAGCTCGCTATCTCGCGACGACGTAACCTGCGGGCTGGAGGTGTTAGACTCGACACCGAGTCGCCTGAAATTATCGAAAATTTCCGCTGCCGACGCGCTCCTCGACCAAAGTGATAAACGCAGAGCAAATATTACGACGTATCTAACCCGAGTTCGATAACGTAACGTGATTCCTGGCAATATAACTCAAGAAATGGAAACGACAAATGTAATGTCACAAACATTAAGAGCNCCAGCACAACTTGCCTCAACACCCAGTTTCGGCTTGACGTTACATTACGGGACATCCTGTATATACTAGGGCACTATTTAAGTTGTGAGCCTTGACATCATAACGTGTTGTTAGACGACATCTGATATTTTTAATGAAAAGTTTGACATTTTTGACTACAACCTTATTCAAAACTTTTTATCATTTGAGCACGTTTTGTATTATTAACATTTAATTGAAATTTATCTTGACTACAAAAACATGGAATTGACTTGCGGAAATTTTCGCGCGAAGATTTATTATGACTTTCGACGTGGTTAATCAATACAAAACTGAACCGGTCAGCTAAATTTCACTTTTGGTGATAAAGATCTGTTCTTTACCATTGTTAAACGCTAGTTTAAGAAGTATAATATTGTATGTCATTGGCTCACCAGTGAACTTTGCGAAAGTCGTTCAAAATGACTAATAGTGGCGGAAAACATTGATGTTGTCAGAAAAATGGAAGAGAAACCTCGTCATGTGATATATCGTAGGATTGAGATAATCCTAGGCATCAATTCCACTAGCAGTAATAAAATATTGTATGACCATATTATGGTTAATACGTTTTTTTCTCGCTGGATGTCACAAAATTTTTCAAACGCTCAATAGGACGCTTGTGTCGTTTAGTCCTTGGAAATGTTTGATAAATACGTTTAAAAAGCTTTAAAAGCCGTTTTTAAAATTGTGGCAGTTGACGAATTAAGGATCTATGCATAATGATCCTGAAAATAAACAGCTATCGACTATGGAGGTGTTTTAAGATGAACCAATTCCAACTAAAGTCCCATGCGCTCGGAACACTTTGAAACTGACGGTCGCCTATTTTTCCAAAATATCCGATTATATGACAGAAACGTCAATAGAAAAATTTTGAATGGTTAATTCTTAATAGTAAACAACCACTTTTTTTCCAAAAGTCTTCATTTTAATAAGGGAAACTGACCAGCATAGTCGAATCGCCATTCGTGACGAAAATGTGAGATTTTACACGTCTCGTCAAACAACTGACTATTTGAACACTCAAAATATGAAATAAACAGGTCCAACGCTACATAATTCTTGCTTGGAATCTAGACACTTCTTTTGGTACCCATATATTAAAATTTAATGCGTGAACAGCGATTTATGTAGCCAGAAGCAACTGTCGATGCGGTCAAAAACCATGCTTTGGAGGTGCCTCAAGCAGAGTGGAAAAAATGCTATGAAAAGTGTTTCGGACACATTAAAAAGTACATAAATCATGAAATACAATACCAATAAATGCAATCAATACCATTTTAATAATAAACTACTTTGTTTTCATAGTTAGGCTCACAACTTAAATAGTGTCCCACGTATAGATAAGGCTGCTCTTCAAAAAGTTTAATATTTCTAACATGAGTAGTTTCTTATTACAGCATAGGTCCGTGTTCAGTGGCTATATTGCCTATATTATTAAGTGTACCCAGCAACAAAGTAGACGCTAGCCGAGCGTCACAACGTACTATCTTGTTGGAATATAAAACCACAACAGGTGAAGTTGATGAATATTAAAAACCCGCGGAAAAGGTCGAAGCGGAATTATTCGCTCCGTCCCCATTTCAGCTATCAAAAAGTTTTATTTTGCTCTAAAGAAATTCCGTCAGCAGACATAGCCTGAATGGCTTCAGAATAAGCGCCGCATGCCGATTAGGTTGGGTCTATTAATCAAACACAAAGGGCAGCTGGGGTCTTTGCACACTTGACCGTGACCCTGAATTGCTGATTCACCGCCTTTATTTGATATATTTTTTAACGTCTGAGCTAAAATTAAATCTTTAATAGGCTTATTCGACCATGATAAGATTATTTTCCGTACAAACAAAGTAGTTATGTAGATGTAATATGATTTCAACAGAAACAACATTTCAGAACAATGTATGTAAGATACGTTTCTAGATACTAAAATATTTTTATGACACACCTAAATCAACGCAGTACCCAAGTTAACAATATAATTTATAGGGGTTATGATTTACTAGCAATTCAAACACATACATAGAGGGACGTAACGAACAAAATTAAAATGTGTTTTCATAATTCCTAGTATTTTGTTTATAAAATAAAAATAAACACGAATGATAACTATTTAATATAGGTTCAACGTATCAATAGTGATTGACACACGCTACAATTACCTGTTCACGTCCGCACACAACAACTTGGTTACGATGATTAACATAATCGTTTTTTGTAGCATTCCTATCACACAATTGAGGCAACATAATAGCATTAATTTAACCGTTACCGAAGCCCACGCACACATGCAAATAAAAAACAATCGGGCTCGTGCAAGAGGTCGGCGGCCACACGCGGCCTTGACCGTGCATCCATTATGCACACCCGTTTACTTGCAAACGAGTGCAACGGAACGCATCTATGCCTAACGGTCCCTGCACCAGTACGCCTAGGCTAGGCTCTAAAACACAAAAGAGCTATGACGCAACGGATTCGTCAGCACAACACTAGTTGCTGCGAGAAGTTGGGTTTTGTGTATTATCTCGACACTGTGGAGGTTACGCTTGTTTGATACGCTCGAGTGCCCTAAATCTATGTGAAAATAGAGAGCTCAATTTTGTGCTTAAATAATGTGGTGAAAGTTGGTCAAGCCCTGTTGATTTGTGACGGCGAAAATTGGTAGAAAATAAAGACCGGAGTTAGCAACTAGTATCGGTGGGACGTCCACCCACAAGGTGGACCGACGACCTGATAAAGGTAGCGGGAAGGCGCTGGATGCAGGCCGCTACCAACCGTGCGATGTGGAAGTCATTGGGGGAGGCCTATGTTCAGCAGTGGACGTCCTGTGGCTGAAATGATGATGATGATGATGATCGGTGTTGCAAGTTCAGTGTCGTTGCTGCATACAACGTAATGTGTTTTGGAGGAAATACGCCAGTACGAAGTGGGAGTAGATTTTCATCAGACAATGCAACAGTGCGCCGGCGAGTCCACAACATCAATCCCATCGCACAACGCTTTCACTGAGCGGCAAGTTTCCGCGTCACGTTCCAAGGCTGCAGATAAGCTTGACCCGATATTTACTAATCCAGGTCAAGAGAAGTCATTCACTTTTTGTTTCCTCTTGCAGAGAGACGATAATTGAACGAAGAAAACGTCAATTGTTCGCGAGCTCATAATTACGTAACACTTGATAATGAAGCGTGGCCGGCAATGGTGATATTAAAAGTTATTTGATAACAACTGCGTGGGTTCGTGGTCTGTTTATAATTGTTGCAAAGAAACAAGTTACAAGGTTAATTGTGTTTATTAGTTCGCTTTGATAAGCAGCCGAGTATAGACGTCGTTCCAGTTGATTAAACTAATTTATAACTTATTTGTGCTTTATTTATAAGGTTTAATTAACGCATTTAATTTAACAAAACTGGCGTAATCCTATAAATATTGTTTTACTAACATCTCTATTTGTATTTTTAGCGCAATTTAATATTTTTAAAGCTCAGATTTCAGTTTGAATGAAAAGCGATGGGAATCGATGTCGAGATTTACAAAACGTTAGTATCGAGATTCGATTAACAAGAACGATACTTTAATCGGATTAACAGCGTGTTCCGAATGGATGACGTCCGAAAAGGTAGACATTTCGGCCTACAGCCATTTCGTAATTCAATATGCAGCGGCTGGCTGCCGACAAAGCCGAAGCCGATCAGCACCAGTGACACGGCTGTTACCATTGCAGGCCCTTAGGCAAAATTGCAATGCTATGTTTGTTCCTACGTCCGATTGTTAACGTCTGTTAGCTTCATTGGGCCCTTTGAATCGACTCTGAAAGCATGTTTTAAACTGCTACACCATGTAATAAAGAGGACCAAATGAATGATGATGAATAAATGAAAGGCGTATAATTAATTCCTAACATAGACTTGAGAATTCAAAATGATATACCTAGTATAAACTAAACCGAATAACACGATAGTATAAGTTTTATAATTTGCTGAA